AATTTATGTTGTCAATTGACTTCACTTTCAATTGTCACTGATTTAAAATAACTCAAGGCTTGTTACATATTACTTTTTTTTTTCTTGTATTAATGCATATCTTTTGATCAACTATTGGAGGCTTTTATTTAAAAAAAGGAAAACCAATGCTGTTGAATAAAAACCGGCATAATGAGTGCCTAACTATGCTAAAAAATTAAGAAATATAATATAGTAAAGAGTGAAATTTTAAAATATTTAAATATCCGATATTGGATAAAATATACAGTAGCATAGGTGACACCTGCTTTAAATCAATTATTTATTAAGGTGTCATATACTATATTCTATATTTTATCCTAGATATTAAATAAATAAATGTTTAAATAAATACAGAAATATAAATGTGATATGAAAAAGTTAAATGTGAAAATTAAATTTTAGTTTTCACTATTATTATTGATAACTTTGTTTGCATAAACACGAGGTAAATAATTATAAGAATCAAAGTCAAATAATTCTTTTTCCGAAATTTTAACCAATTCATCAAATTCTTCGTTAGAAATTTGCAATGCTTCCAATAAAGCAAGTTTAAAACTTCCATATGCGGTAACCATATTATTGACAACCTGTTTATTTCAAATCGTATTAAAAAAAGTTTTAATAACAATGCAATTTAATGCAGTTTGTACAATACATTACCACTTTACTGAGCTTGATATTATTAGACTTTACACCATGATAGCATTGTTTCGCTTCTTTCTTAATATTTTCTAATTGACCTGATTTAGAGTATATAGGTATAATTATTATAGTGAATTATTATAATAAATTCGCAGTATAAGATAAGGAAAAAACCTTGGTTTTGTAAATAGTCTTCTAACTTTTGATAAATATCACTATCTAGGCCTCGTTTTTCCAATAATTCTATTACTTTATAATAATTTATTTGATTGAAAAAGCGTATAAGTAAAAGGAACAAAGCTATTAGATAACTTTAAAGTACATACATCCATTAAATAAACGTTGAGTTGCTGGTCCTAAATCAAACATTTTAGAAGGTTCAGATAACTTTTTTTTTTTATAAAAAAAAACATAATTATTTTTAAACATAATTATTTTATAATAACTAAATATCAAAATTTAAATAAGCATACTTCTAAGAATCCACCTGGTTTTAAAACTCTAACAAACTCATTTATTAAATATGGCCACTTCTCTTTGGTACAACCAGTGAACATATATCGTTGAAATACGAAATCAAAAGTATTATCTTCGAATGGTAATCCTTCCAAAACATTTGCTTTGACGAATTTAAAATTTTTAGGTTTTATTTGTGTCGGCTGGAGTGGGGATATATCTAAACCAACAAACTCAACCAAGGGATATCTAAGTAAATATTATAATATTAATAATTTTAATATTAATAATTTTAATAGAACTCAATATAATAATAATTATCTTCGTTTATGCCTCGGACATTATACTTAAACTCATGTAAAAAGATTAACAACGTACGTGCTTGCCATGTCAAATGACCATGATCCTGCGCCACACCTATAATAGATATTTTTAACCAAACGTTTTCCAGATGTTAATTACTTCTGTTAAATATAATGGTAAATTGAGTTTATGTGAAATTTAAAAAAAAATATAAATTAGGATCTTTAAAGGAATCAATTGCTGTACACTTCATGTTTAAAGTTTAAATTACTATATTATTGTATAAAGTTTTTAAGTTGTGATAAAAATTTAAATAGATACAGAAAAAACAAAGTTTAAAAATATTCGTAACCGGAAATTGGGAGGAAAACAAATAGAGCCAGTCGCCATCATAATATTATTGTCACTGTTGAAACTGTAAATTTTAATATTTTAATATGAAAATTTTCAAAAGTTTTTAGGGTGCATTTTTTTTTTTTAACTTTTTCTTAATAGTTAATTTCAGCCGCGACATTTATTATACGAATTCCAATAGATAAGTATTATTGATTCTAAGAGCTTAAAATTTCTGCAACTAAAATCTATCGAATACAATTACTTAACTATCATAGTAATACATAATTACATACCCAACATCAAGGACCTTGGCTCCCGGATTAGACAAAATATGGTTGATGGGGGCAGAAAAGTTGTTCTGCCAAATATATCTCATCATGAAATGTTGTAAATGTAGTCTGTCTAATTCATCATCATCATTTGGTAGAGGATACACGGCATTTTCCACATTATGAAATCTCCTACCATCAACGTATCGAAACTCTGTTGTAAATTCAACTAGTAAATTCTGTGATTCCATAGACTCTGTTTTTTCTCTAAATTTAGAAGAGGTACATCCCATGTCGATATCACTTTATACGCTCATTATATTTAAAAACTATTAATTGACATGAAAAAAATCAAACTTTTTTTTTTAACAAATAAATATAATATTAAAGAATGTAAATAGAAGTTTGATAAAATTTAAATAAATATCAAGGAATGTAAATAGTAATTTAATAAATATTTTAACGCTTAAAAATTAAAAAAGTTGATACTGCTGAAAACGCGCATGCTTAGTTTATTGGTAATCAATTAGAGCTTCATCTATTTGTGTAACTAGTGATTATTAGTCGGATCAGTGCGCAAAATTGTGCAGCGATAAAACTGTAATTAGTTATCGGATAACGGTAATTTGGTAAACGAACACGTGCAGCCAATCATTTGTTAAATTACAGTATTCAACAATTTGCTCAGTATTGGTGTTGTTCGGCAATTTATGATCTGATTCCATCGTAACAATG